CCCCAAAACCCCAAAACCCCAAAACCCCTTCTCATATGATTCCTAGATTATTGCGAATTTTATAGACGTTGCAAAAATAAAAATTATCATTAATGGCATTTTTATGTAGTGGAGGAGGAGGTGGTGATTTAGGCTTAAGTAGGACTCACCACACAAAATACGCACATTACTAATCAGATGGCCACGGAAGAGACACCTACATTTTAAAAAATAATGGAGGCCTATGCCAGGAACGCGATCCTTACTTTATTGAAAGCACACGATATCCCTCTCCAGTAAGATTCATGGGGCCGCCTGCTCATAGAAAACAAATATGGTCTATTAAGTATCAATCAGATGGTAGTGGAAGAGACTCGTATGTCTTAATTGACAGTGGGGGTAACCATGTTCCAGTTTAGCTCGGAGGTACTTATAGAGGATATGAGAACTCGCTCAGAAGGGAAAGCTTCGTTAAAAGAGTTTTGCCTTAGCCTAAATAAATATAAGAAAAAAGGGATTTTCATTATTGGCAAAACTGGTTTAGGCCTGAACAGTAAAATTAAATGAGAAAGTCAATGTATAAGTCCAAATAACTCTTTGAGAGACTAGCAACTCCTAAGAAAATTGGAAGGGTAAGATCCTCTACTCCATCAACTAGAGCATAAACCTAGAATGATCATAATTACTTGTCAGAGAGTTTCTAAAATTTACCTTTATAAAAGTAGATTGACGTCAATCAGAGTATAAACTTGGACAATAAATAAATGAATGCACCAATGCAAATATAAAACTTTGCAAGAAGATTCAGCCATTCTATAAACAACACTACTAGAAATAAATCAGCAATAAATCTTAATTAGAATAGACAATTGTTCTAAAATAACACTATGAATTTAGCCAACGAGAATAATTAAAATGACAAAAACATCAGTCTGCTTCATCTTAACAACGATAAAATAAACAAAAACAATGAATATGCCCCTGAAGGATATATGCAGCACAAAGTCTTTGGCACAAAATCCTATTCTCTATTGTAAAATCAAAAGAGAGGCCTCGTTCATTAAAGTCATGATTTCACCAGGCCAAAGTCTAATTTAAATGTGGCGACTATGGATGTGAAAATGAAATAACAAGATGAATATAAAAGAGCGAAAGAGGTGACTCAGAGTATGAGTGTACTCGATAACCTTAAAAACATGATGAGATAAAGAAAAGCACTAGATCACTTAACTAAATCCCAAAAATGAGCAATTTATATATGAAGATTTTTATCCTTAATATGTATTTGATATTCCTGAATTACCATCATTTAAAATATTTTAGTTTGATGGGGTTTTGGGGTTTTGGGGTTTTGGGGTTTTGGGG